CAGCTGGCTGGGTCACATTTACAACCTGCGGGGCTACATTCAGTACAAGCTGGGGTTCACTGAAGACGCCCAGAGTTTGTTCAACCAGGCTGCAGAGGCCCTCCGCCAGATAAGAGGAGCAGAAGAGGGTCCCTGGTTAGTGGTGAACTACGGGAACCTGGCTTGCTGCACCACCACCTGGAGAAAAGGAAAGGAGTGTCCAGGCTTACCTGTCAAAGGTCGACCGCCCCTGATGAATAAATATCCATCTCCATCCCAGGATGGAGGCTCCTCCAGGAGATCTACGTGAAAAAGCCTGGGACCTGGATGAAGTTCAGCACAGACCCAAAAGATGCTGGCTGCAGATTACTTTGAGAGAGCCATCAGGATGCAGCCGGACATGGTGGAGTGGAACACCAGCCGTGTCTTAGCATTAGTGAGTGCTTCTAACTACTGCAACAAAGAGCTGGAGGCTGACATCTTGGAGGAAATGAGAATCGCCAAAGAACAGGATCCAGAGAACTTGTACCTCGCTGTTAAATACCTTGAACAACGTGGTAAGGCAGGAGAAAGTATTGAAGATGAAGCACGTGAGTTAGGCAGACAGGTTTTGATAAATCCTGTCAGCAGCTACAGCGGTATGAAAGCAATACTGTGGGTTTACAGAAACTATGTATCTGTAGATGAGGCCATTACTTTGGCAGAGGAGGCTCTGAAACAACATCCAGATGTACGTTATCTGAAGAGCTGTGTTGCACTCTGCTACAAATGGATTTATTTCAGGGATATTGACCAAGACGTAATGGATAGAAGCAGAATAGAGAGAGCACTCAGTCTCCATAAAGAGGTGGTTTCTCTTTACCCTCATTCTTCTCTCATGAAGAAAATAGACCTTGCAAATATATACGCAAAGTCAAGTCACGGCCAGGCTCAAGCTGAGCAGATATACCAGGAACTGCTAGAACGTGATCTGGAACCTGCAGACAAACAGATGCTTTATCACAGCTACGCAAACCATTTATTCTATCATCTAAACGATAGAGACAGGTCAACACAGTATCACATGAGGGCAGCAGAGATACCGCAACAATCCTTCTTTCGTGATAAAAGCATCAGAGTTCTTACTCAGATAAGAGACAGAAAGAAAGACAGAATGTCTAGAGAAATAGAGAAGTTTCTGGCAAACCTGCAAGATCCATAATGTTTTTAACTGCACTGCTTAGGAATCCAGAAAAAAATGCATTAGCTCAAGAAATCTGTAGATATAAATTTGATCACATACAAACTCGGAGGAAAGATTTGTGGAAACTGCAGAAAAGACTACTTCTTCAAATAAACTCAAAATGGAAGCGAGAAATCTACGGTGAAGACCCTGATCGCAACATTGCAGGAAGTAAAGTTCGTATAATTGACCCAGGTACTTGTACGAGGGCACCCTTTCAATGGATTTACCATCAGATGTGAAAATACTAAAATCATCAAGCAAGCTTCAAAAAAGACCATGAACTTTGTCTTCTGAGCATTTAAAACTAATTTTAGGCTCATCAGGGAAGTTTGTAATGATGGAAATGAAGTCTGAAGCTCTTGCACTGCCTGTCCTAAGGAGGGAGCATGTGCATAAAGTACAGTGTCAAAATAAAAATATGTGGTCAATGTCCTCCAGAGCTTTACACACTTGAGCTAATGAAAGAGGTTTAAAATCAAACAAATCCAAATTTGTGGCAGTAGTGGCAGAACATGAGATCAGTGTATTTAAGTTAGAGATGTCAAATATAGACACACACATGAATAAAGTGTTTGTTAAACTGACTGACCATTATTCTATCTGAACCAACCCGAATGTGATCAGGGAGGTCTGAAGCATCAAGGACAAGGATTTAATTAATTTCCAGGATTTTGTTGGGTTATTTAGGTTCTCTATAACTGACTTTAGACGAAACTCTAATTTGAGGTGTATTTGTTATAATTAAATCCAGCAAGGTGGACTTATTTTGTGCTTTAGGATTTGGCCTTGTTGGTGCATTAATGAACTGCACAAGGATTAAGGAGTCACAAAGTTCTTTAAAACAATCTGAGTCACATGAAAGCCAGTCCCAAAACAGGTCACGCATAAGGATGAATAGTCAGGATACAAAATTAAGTGTGTGTCAGTTAATTGAATCAAAAAATGCAATAATAACAACAAGTGACACTCCTCTTGTCTTTGGAAACACTGGGACGGATGTCTGTATGTGTTTCATATCTGTGTTGTTGTCCATGTATTGTTTTGTGTTGTTTTCATGTTAATATGGATTTCTATGTGTGAAATAAAGTTAATTTGAAATTTAAAATATGTCAGTTGTTCTTGAGCAGAAGACACAATTTTGATGCTAAATCTCTAATTTAAGGTTACATTGTTCTGTTGTCTTATAGAATACATGCCATTTTATTATTATTTATTGTATTATATATTTCTTTCCTCTGGTCTTTATTTGCATATTTGGTGTTGAGGTAATCCAAAAGTAACATAAAGTAATCAAGTTACTTTAATATTGTGAAACTTAGCTTACTGACTGCATTTTTTATCAGGTAATTAGTAATGTATCCGATTACATTTTTAAAGTAACCCTGGGAATAACCATAAATGGTATTATATTAACAACAAGGGATGATCAGAGGTTTTGGAACCAGAAAATGACAAACAATCCATGTGGTAGAGGATGTTTTTAGTAAATTATTTTTACCCTTATTATTAGTTTGTTGTATCAAGTTACATAATTCAGTTTAGACTTCTAAACCCAAAATATGTTGAAAAAACACGTCTTCCTGTAAGGAGGAAAAGGTCCGACCACTCAAAGACACAGCGACATCTAGTGGATTCTTGTTTTTAATGTTTTATTGGCTTTAATGGATAGAAACAGCTGTAGAGTGACAGGAAAGGGTGGAAGAGAGACGGGATGCAGCAAACTGAACCCTGCAGAATCAGAAGGGTGGCAGAATTTATCAGAATAAAGTCACTTAAATGCATCTTCTTTATACAAAAGTTTAAATATACTCAGTTTTCTTCCATTAAAGAAAATGATTACGTTACCTGTAAAAATAATTTATAGCCAATTAATTTATGTGTTTTTTTTCTCATAATTTGGTAGATCATTAAGAATCATCTGGATGATTAATAAACTGAAATAGAGATCATAAGCTATACAGCATTATAACGCTCACATGTTTATAATAATATAAAATCAACTTGAAGAAGAAAATGAGTCAATGGAACAAAATGGAATTATATCATCTGTACTGAAAATAGTGCAGACACTTAACTTCATTTAAAACAAGTGAGTTGCTTCAACAATTCATTTTTGAGGATTCATTTATGTTAATTTACTTCCGTTATTAAGATGTGTTGTCAGGTTGTACAGTCCAAGGTTTGAGACTTGTGTGATACCTGCTGATAAAGGGGACAAAGTTTAGATTTCAAAGCCAGATAATCAGAGCTCTGTGCAGATCTGTTGTGTCAGTATGACAGAAACGGTGCTGTAGGTTTCTATTAGTGGG